TGATACTAGACAGATGGTGCAACATATTTGTAATAAGATACTTCAAAATTCCTAGATAGCAGTGCCTGATGATCAGATTTAATCATGTCATGATCTTCCGATATTGATGGAAATATGACGTACGTTTTGTAGTCATATTATAATGATACATATCGTGAGCACAAGTTAACATACACAGAGGAAAAGTATGAAATCACATATTGACATTACTTTTAAATTCGTGATGCTCATACACTGATTACAATAATTAACTAACATTTGTTATACGTTTTGTACGGCTAGTATTTTCGTTATTATTCTACATTACAGAGCTCAAAAGAATATTTTGGAACATTATTCTAACAATAAGTATGGGTTATGATATTTTTCTCATCAATCTCATCATACGATATTTATAAATATATCATGTGATGAGATTATAAGAAATATATCACAACTTATACTCTCTTAGGTTAATCTGTACTTAGGTTAAAATAAAAATCAATATTTTGTAAACGTTTGTCTTAAATAATGTTGAGGACATCATCTTTTTCATAGAGGGCAAATTAGCACTTTGCTATATGTAATTCCGACATTTATAGCTATTATTGGATATACATAACTTGGATAGGGTGACCGCAATTTATTTTTGTCACCTTTGTGAGATACATGAAGACATTATGAACTCAGAATGCATATATTTTGTTATCGGAGTCATGACATGACTGCGATCTGACAAGGGGAGGGCCAACATATGTTCTCTCCGATTTTAATGAGCTTGATATATGTTGCACAACTACACCTCCCTTAATAATAGGTAAAACCATTCGACCATACGCTCAAGCATTCGCGAGAAAAATTTATTTAAAATTTTTCCACATGCGTATGTACCGAGTCGCTCACAAAATATCTCGCGAATGCTTGAGCGTATGGTCGAATGGTTTTACCTATTATTAAGGGAGGTGTAGTATTGCAACATATATCAAGCTCATTAAAATCGGAGAGAACATATGTTGGCCCTCCCCTTGTGAGCAGCATATAAGCCCGCATCAGTGACTATGTTTGTTATCATGTTTGTGAGACACATAAGCGACAATATGAGCTCAGAATGCATATATTTTGCTATCTGGGTTATAATACTGACAAGCAGTTGAGTTAATTTACTTTGCGTAAAATATGCAAGTTATTTTTAATGCGAATATACAATACATGTTTTATTAAATTTCTCTTTTTAGAAATTTAAGCTCTTTTGTCTTGTCATTTTTATTTTTTAAAATAAGAACTTTGAATAATTTACCGTATCATATTGATTCTCATTCGATATATGCGATGCCACATCAACAAACAAATCTGCGACTTCGTCCCACTTTCTGAAACTGTAACGACAATATACAAACGTAAGAAGTTCATTGCTATAATAGTATAGACTATAGATAGTACTGTAATGACACTCACAATAGATGCAGCTCTTCGATATGTGTTATTAAAAAGTTCAGGGTAACATTTACACCTACTGGACCTGCGCTGTACACGGAAGCAAACACCGCTGAAACATCTTGTCGACGAATGGCAGTATAACTGGCAGGATCGTATTTTTCAATAGCTCTGCCTAAGTAACTGTTAAAAAAAAATTATCGTAAATCGACTGAAACCGCCCTGGGATGTATCTAACTAAGAAATCAGAAAGATTATTATGACTGTTATAATTTTAATGAATTCTATGATGTTATAATACGGGAAAATAAATTTATCATAAATACGCTTACTGACGAACATTACAAAATTAAATTAATTATGTAGATGATTTTTTTGAGTTAGGTTTAGTTAAGTTTCAGTTAATCAAGAGTGTTAGAATTTTTCTCTACTTTAACATTTCTAAATTATTCTGTGAACATATACTGAAATATACATATATTAATTACGGGTTAATGAACTAAAAGCATAACACTTAAAGTCCTTTTTTGTTTAAAATAGTTGATGTTATTGCATCATTTGTTTGGGGACTTACTTTTGGAGCACTGTCTCATTTATCGAACACCCGAGTGTACTTATAATGATCTTCTTCTGTGAGACAAAGTTTGTCTTTAGATATTGATTCCATAAGAATTCCCAATCATCTGTACTTCCTTCTCTTATTGCGGTACAATAAACAGCTGGTCGTGCGTTCCGTGGAATTCTATAAATAAGAAAGTATTAGTTATAAATAACATATTTTATAAAGAAATAAACTGTGATTGCGGTACACTGATAAATTTAATTCTTTCTCGCGTCTCTCTATCAACATATACTTATTAAAAATCTAATATAAGTTTATAATTCTAATTATTTTTTTAATTATTTGTATCTTGAAATGTATATTACAATTTTCCAAAATAATTTTAAATCGTAATATCTTCAGTCTCAATATCTATTTAGTTTGGTTGAAAATATGGAAAGTATATCAGACATTTACGATTAAAAAAATTGTTATTAATTTAATGATTTTATTAAAACTTGTCGGAATCTTACGGTGCGAAATTCTCCCTCCAAGCCGCAAATAGATCTACAGAGTTTTTTATACATTCCGTTTTGTGTAACTTGCAAGCCCATTGAAGGATTATTTCCCGGTTTAATTTGTCTAAATGCTCATCATCATCGTGATCATCGAATCCTATTTCATCATACATCGTAGATAATAATTCCAAAACATATCCATTTAGATCTTTCTGGTAAGTCTGTTGTTCAAATCTTCCATAAATGAATGCTAAGCCATTAAAGAATGCTTTCCAGGGTAAATGATTTGTTTCTTGTCTCAAATATGTCGTTGCATTCATCAACAATTCATATTCTATGTAGTCAGCACGAGCCAAGTTAAAAAGATCGTCTATAATTTGAGCACGATTTAAAACATTGATAGCTTCAAAT